TCAGCTATTTGAAGGGGCCAGCAGAAGCCCATGAAAACTGAATGTCCAAAAGTTGAATTCAAAAATTCTTTTTACCTCGAGCTGCCACACGTGTCCCATTAATTTCACCTCCATGTCGTGACGTCGCTGCTCGTGGAGTGGGCCCCAAGCTAAATAGGCAATAAGCCCCATTTTTCAACATACAAACACATAAAGATGTCAGCTCAGACTGTTTACTAATTAACGCTTAAAAAGACACAAATTAGATATGCGTGGCTAAGAGCAATTATAATCAAGACGAATTTCTCTAGTCATTTGGGAACTGAAAAAAAAATGCCTAATTGCTGGAACCAATGTTTTAAAAACTGAAATCATGCCAGTTAGCAAATATGTTCATTTAAAGAACATTCCACGTGACTACACTCTTGAGGATTGACTACAAACACGAGAACAAGGAAAATATTTAGGTATAAAATTAAAATTTTAAGCTCCCTTAGATTTATAACTTCTTCATTAAATACGCCTGCAAACAGCAGCCCATAAAAACCTGCAGCAATTAAGTGGTTAAATGGACTGCCTCCCTTGTCAATTTTAAGGGAGTGATTAATACGAGATCGTCCCTCTACTAATTAGACTCTCCCTTGTCTTTCGGCTTTAGATCCGGGAAATGGAGGCTGTTTGCTCCACCAGGAAGCCGGTGGCGACCAGCAGGTCCCTTGCTGGGTCTGAGTGCGGCGCCCCTTAAGGGCGGGGAGCGCGTGGTTTCCGTGGTTTCCGTGGGAGGCGGGCAGCAGGCGGGGAGATGGCTGTGTGTGGAGCCGCCCGGCATCCGGATGCCCGTCCATCACAGGAATCGCCGGCTCCTATTTATAAAAGGCTCGCTGGTCGTCATGCCCGCAGCATGAAATCTACCACCATCAAGGCCACTCTCTCCTGGCCATCATTCCCCGAGACAAGGGACAGATCGGCCTGTGAGGGAGGCAGGGTGGGGCCGTGGGGGAGGAGCACACCGGCTCCGGTACAGGTGACCGACAGGGGAATTGTTGCAGAAGCTGCTGCCCGGACGGGAATACAACGGATGGAGAAACGGCGACTGCTTACAGGGAAATAAAGCGCATTTATATGCCCAGCTCACTCGGAGGGAAGATGCTTCATCACAGGGGTTGGCTGCCAAATTACACTTCCCCGACTCCCAGGGGAGAGCCTTTTGTTTGGGCAGCAGGAGGACAATGAGGCCTGCAGGGGACACGGCCCCAGGCCCCCGGCTGCTGCCCAGCCCCCTGGGGAGGGGCCAGGCTGGGCCAGAAGACCTCCCGGTGCTGCCACTCCTGCCACTGGTCAGCCCCCTGGCCACCGCCCGGGCTGAGGGGAGAGGAACAAAATCTCACTCTCTCAAGCCTGGGACCCATTTGCTTGGCAAAGCCCCTGCTCTGAGCCGTGGACGGAGGCGGGCAGCGGGGCCGTGGCCGCAGGAAGAGGGGCCGGGAGAACCGGGGCTGCCCCGGCCGAGGGCCAGGAGCGGTCAGATTTTGGTGTTTTTGTTGACCGTGGCTTCGTTTCCAACAACCCACCGACGCGGCCTGAGCGTGCTTCTGGGCTGAAAGGCTGTGCCTTCCCAATGATTGTTCCTTTGAAATCTGCGCGGCAGCATGTGCACTGATTTTAATCATGACCTTAGGACATGACCCCCCGTGCGTGTCTTTCATAAAACGCGATCAAGTCCTGCCTCGGCCACAGCCCTGGGGGGGTCCTGACCGCTGACCACGGCTCGGACCTGGGGGCGGGGTCATCAGGAGACTCCCCCGGGGTCAAACCCGGGGGGGGGGCAGATTTGGCAAGCTACCCTGGCATGGCACTAACTGTCCTCTCCTGGCACCACGCTGCATCCACTGCCTCCTCTGCCTCCACAGCCCACACGTCCTGCAAACACCCAGGTGCCACGGGCAGAGCTCGTTCTAGCTCACACTGTCCCCCGAGCTCATTGGGGTTCTGTGGGGCCCACCCACGACTGGGGTGACACCTCGTCTCTTTCCACCTGTTACTCAGTGGCAGGCTGGGGCTCCCTGCTGTGGTGGGAGCACCAGGGCCGCTCTGCTGGGCACTGCTGGAGTGCTCCCTTAGGTCCCGAACCCCCCAGCTCAAGGCTGACAGGTTAATGGGGTTCAGTCATGGAGTGACCTGTCCCAGGGCCAAATGGTAGTGACAGGCGCAGGCTCACATTCAGAAACACCCCTCCGGGTCAGGATGTAAGCATCACGGTCCCCCGGGCGGCCCTCTCCTTCCTCAGCCCTGTGAGCAGGGAGCAGGGAGCAGGGAGCCAGGGGAGACCAGGGAGGAGCCCCAATAGGCACGGGGCCCAGGTGGGTCTCGGCATCTGTGCCCCTGACCCAAAGGCAGTCTCCCACCTTTGGGGGTAGGAGGCTTGGCTTAATGGGATGAAATAGTTTACAGGGAGCAGGGAAGCTGCCAGCAGAGCTCCCCCTGCCCTGGGCCCCACCCCTCCCCACCAAGAGCAGCCAGACCTGCTGGGGATAAAAAGGAGACAATCATCCCATGGAGGAGACAGCCGCTGCCCAGGGCCAGCCCCTGGGGCCCAGACCAGGCCGGGGGCTGTGGGCACAGCCTCTCCCAGGCCTCAGCTACCCCTGCAAGGCTGGGTTCAGGGCCTAGGAGCAAGCTCAGGTTTATTTATGGAGAAAATCCTCACATGTGGTTGCAGAAGATGGAGCTGTTCACCAAAGTGTATGGATATCAACATACTAGTCACCATTAAATGCACGCGGATGGCTGGTGTCACGTGTAAATCCTCAGATTAGATGCAAAACTCCACAGCTCCTGACGGCGGGGTGTTGGCGACGGCTTCACACCCTATTTGCCGTTTCCAGCCTCTTCCCACTTCCCCACAATTTCAACGCCGCTTCAATTTCCTTCAGCAGAGAGTACGGACGTGTGTGTTTAACCCGTCACTAAAAACAAGAGCTAGAGCTCGGCTCCGTCACCCGATGCCACCGCTCAGCCACGGGCCCCGAGCAGCGCGTGCTGAGGGCCGGACTCACGCTGTTCACACCCTCCCGTGGACAAGGAGGCGGCCTCGGCCACGGCAGCCAGCGGAGCGGGAGCCAGGGCAGGCCCTGTTCTAAGCCAGTCACACGGCGCTCAAACCTCACAGATGCTGCAGGGTGAGCGTCTTCATTACTATCCCCGTTTTTCAGAGGAGGAAACAGGCTCTGAAAGGCTGACTGGCAGGGCTCACTCGGGCCCAGGGCTGCGGACGGCAGAGCCCGTCTGCCCACAGCTCCACTCAGAGCCTCTGACCTCAAGACAAGTCAGCCCAGCTCGACACGTCTGGTCCAGACGTCAGTCCTGAGAGCGGGAAGAGAACTGAGGTTTACGGCGGTTCCACCACATGCACGGCTCTGCACCGGCCTCTCCTACATCCCCCCTCGTATGCTCCACCTGTGACTCGAAGGCCAGGGTCAGGACCCAGGTTCCCCACCCCACCCCCACTCCTCACCAGCCCCTGGCAGATCCGCGGAGCCACAGACTTCGAGTCATGAGGGAGAGGATTTGGAGTGTGACACACTGGGCCTCAATCTTTTCCTCACCCTCCGAGCCTCCATTTCTGCCCACGACATGGGAGGAATGACACCCCCCGGGTCAGGTGGGTGAGGGCCGGGGAGGCGGCCGGTGGAGCCGGGAGCCCACGCTGAGCACACAGCAGGTGCTTAAACACTCGGGGACCCAGGGGAGCGAAGGCCGAGCTGGGGGCTGCCCCACCGCCAGCACGTGCCACCTCACAGCACCAGCCACGGCGACGGGCACCTGTCTGCCAAGTATTCACGAGAAACCCCGTGAGATCGGTCTACGGAGAGCCCTGCTTTAAACAGAGAGCGGGTGTGCCCCCAGTCAGTGTAAGCCAGACCCGTCTGTACGGACTTCACCATCCTGAACGGAGCCAGGCTGTGCCCTGCGGCACCACCTGCAGCCAGAGCAGGCCACCCCGGAGGCCTCCCCTTCCCACGCACACCCCGAGGCCGGGCTGAGCAGGGCCATCGGCTCCTGGCCCTGAGAAGGGCTGACGGGGTCCTGGGCGCCTCCCCATCGTGGCAGTGGCCAGTCTTTCCCCGAAGTTTACAGACAGAAAAAAGCCCCCCCCCCGCCCCAGTCTACAGATGACAATCAGGTTGGTTTTTATGATTTACTGGAAGGCAAAGACAAGGGGGGCTTTTCCGTCTTGTTTTTGCTGTGACAGGTTTAGGAGTCTGTTGTACCACATTGATTCCATTTTCCTTGATTTCAGCCATCTTTCAATAATGCAGCCCTTCCGCTCGCTGGCACAGCAGAGAAAGCCCAGAGGAGCGGGAATATGGAAATGGTCCTCGCACTTCCATCTCCGAGACAAATGTTCCCCTCAGCGGGGCTGCTGCAAGCACGTGACTCCGCCACCCGCTCCACACAAAGACGCACACGCCACGCTGTCCTGGGAGCGGGGAGCACGCCGACCCCAGTCTCACTCCACGATCTCGACGCCCTTTCGTCAGAGCTGTCACATGTGCCCCAGCTGGGGTTTCTTTCTTTTTAGTAGAGAAACATCCAAACTGTTTGAACCAGGCTGCCCCATGGGGTCTGGCTTACCACGCACAGCGGAGCACCGGCCTCTAAGTCACGGAGGCGGGACCCGTCTCCACGCCCCTCCTGGTGGCTCAGCACACGCAGCCCCTCCCCGAACCCCCACCTTCTTTAAGCTGAGACATTGAGAAAAAATAAAGCACAACAACTGTTCCCTCCGTCTCTTACAACCTCCTGAGCGAGGAGGACGGGGAGGGGCTGGCACACTTGACTGGAGTAATAAACACATGGAAAGTGGGTTCTTGTTCCAAGAGATACATGTGAGCGACATGGGGGTGGCTTTCTGCACAGGGCACCCCAACCCCGGTCCTTCCGGATCCGGAGCAGACCCCTAACCGGAGAGACCCAGGTGCACCAGCCGGCCAGCCCCTCCCGCGCTGGGACCCGCTTACCTCTTTCTCTATCTCCGCCAGAGACTTGATGGTGATTCCCAGCAGGTCAAAGGGCTGCATCTGAAAGCACAGACCACGTCACCTTCAGGGCTGGCTCTGCTCCCTCACGCGGAGGACCTCCGCCCCCGTGTGACCCAGTATTTCCTCCACCCTCCCCACGGAACCCGGGACCCGTCAGGGGGACCCTGCAGGGATTAGTGAGGGCACTTCCAGAAAGCCCCCTGTGTAGGGACCGCTGCTTAGTCATCTGCCTTCAGCACCCAGGAGGGTCACGCCGTCCGGAAAGGCAGTGGCTGTCACCAGTAACTCCCAGCTCCCCGGCCCCTGCCCACGGGAGAAGCCGTTTGCTTTCTTCCCACGGCTGAGGGGCTGGAGCTGCCCCGCCTTCCCCGGAGGCCGCCAGCCGCGGAGGGAGTGGGGCTGAGGCATTCCAGGAGGCAGGTAGCGAGTCTCTCTTCCAGGACTCAGGTGTCCGGGGAGGAGCTGGGGGAACTCCAGGGCTTTGAAAATGCAAGGTGAACGAAATCACTGCTTACCAATGGTCATTTGCGAAATGAAAGGTGGTGAAAAATAACACCGCGTTTTGATGGGTGTTTCTATAATTTCATGAATATGAGGGACCTTTTAATAAAAGATGCTGGCTTTTCAACAGACGGCATGCAAAGTCAAACACATGTGGCTCCAAGAGTCAGCGGGAGGCCCAGAGAAGCAGGGGGCTGAGTGCATGTGAGAGGGCAGAGGACAGACTCTGAGCCCGTCTGGCCCCCTCTGGGCACATGGGCCTTCTCCAGTCCCCCAAGGGCACCGGCCCAGCCTCCTGAGCCCAGGGCCTTTCTGGTTCTGAACTGCAGCCCGAGGGGACAGGGCCTGAGCCAGGCTGGGGGGGTCTCCTGTGAGACGAGGTAGGAAGAGGCCACTTCCAAGTCCAAGGCCCGGGACTCAAAACCGGCCTCAGGTTCCATCACTCCATCATTTCCTCTCCTGCTGGAGAGCAGCTGGGCCTCCAGGCCAGGCTGCTGGGAGGATGAAGTGAGGGAAGCAGGGAAGCTCTTGGCACCGGCTTGGCCTGAGCGCGCGCCTTGGGCACTTGCTGAGTTGGCAGCGCCTGGGTAGCAGCCCATTAGTGAGGGCGATCTTGGGGCAGGGCCACCAAATTAGGCACTGGGCTCCGGGCTGCGCTGCCAGTAGCCAGAAAGCAGTTTGGCTCTCGCCTGCTGCCAGGCCGCGCGGCGCACATGGGCCGCCTGCCCGGCTGCCCGGGATCCAGCTGAGGTCCAGCTGTTGCATCATTAGGCTCTAACTGCCCCACTAAACTTCCCGACCGGAGCTGGTGCGCAGGACAGAGCTGCCTCTCCCAGGAGCGGGCGGGAGAGGCGCCAGCGTCGCCATGGCAACGCGGCCGAGTGGAGTCGGCTGAAGTTACTCATGCTCCGCGTGTCACGTCAGGAGCATTTTTCAAGATTAAGCTGCTTACCAGAAGGGTTCAGAGGAGGCCTATTATATTTCATGAAAATGGAGACTACAGAGCAGGTCACATGGCAAGCCGGGTGGTTTTAAGTCGGATCCAAGAAAAACACTGACGGATCCTTTAGCTGGTGCCCCCACCAGGGCCTTCATGTTTCTTAGCTGCTTAAAGCAAACTTCTTCGGAAAGGACAAAAAATCCCAGGAACCAGGCTATGCAGCCAGCGAGGCCAGGCCTGCACAGTGGAGGGAGGGCCACTGCCACCCGGGGGGGACAGGCAGCAGGAAAGGGACCTGGGGTGCCAGGCAGGGCCTGTGGCCCAGCCCACAGCCGCCAACGCCCGGTCTGAGCTCCGCCCTAAAGGCAGCGGGGCTGGCGCGGGCCTTGGGGGGCTCCCGTGTAGAGGGTCAGTGCTGGCCGGTGGCGAGGCCGGCAGTACATGGAAACCCACCGCTGCCCGACACTGCGGAGCTGGCCAGCCAGCCCACGGACACTCCCAGCGAGAGCGGAGAACGGGTGTCACAGAGTGCAGCAATTAAAATGGGAAAGCGAGGCAGCCTCCATTTTTGTAGAACATCATCATCGTTAAATAAAAAACCCAAATTAAGCTGAACTTGGAAACCAAGTGAAGTTCAGTCCAATTAACCATCACATTTGAAGCAAAAAGGCTTGGCTGCCTCTGAGTTTGCTAGTCCCTCTGGCTCCCTCCTTTCATTCGTTCTCAAGGACCTCACTGGGCAGCACTGGCTGCAGGCTCAGAGGGGCCTGAGCCCCTCCCCCCTCAGCCTGTCGCTGTCGCAGGGCTGAGCTTCCAACCAGCAGGGGGGGGGGGTATTGCAGGGGGGTCAGCAGAAATGACCCGAATGGGGCGGGGTGTGAGGGTCACCAGGAGAGCCCTGCATGCCACCGCGCCACGGGGCAGAGGGAGCTCAGGCCGGGGGTGGGGAGGGAAGGGAAATCATGCACGACACTTACACTTTCTGGAACACAAGAAAACTTCTCTGAAATCATAAAAGGCACACCATCCATTGCTGCAAAAGAAGAGAGAGGAAAGGGCATTGTAGATACCATCCATGTCAATGAACTGAGACGTCAACATCGACAGTACAAGCCAGGCAGTGGCTGGAGCCAGCCAACCTGCACGCAGGAGCGTGAGGCCCAGGGGGTGCACACAGGCACCATCCCTGCTCCTGGGACACCTCTGGTGCGGGAGGCAGACGCCCCCACGTCCCCGGAAGAGCAGGCAGCTGTGTAGACAAGAGCGGTGAGAGCAGAGCGGCCCGGCACCCGCCCCGGAGCCTGGCCTCTGGCCTGTGAGTGGCAGGAGCCGGGGAGGGGCTGCCAGCAGGACGGGGTGCCGGAGGCTGAGGGCAGAGCAGGCGCGTTAGACATGCTCTCAGCTGAAGGTCACACTCAGGCCGTGGGGCCCTGAGCAGGGCCCTGGATCGGGTTTTTATCCCTCCTTCCAACTGACAGTCACGTATTTCAGAAGAACGATCTAGAAACATGACTGCGTTCTGGGCCGTGGTGGCTCCTGCCGCGCTAGCTGTGACGGACGGGGAAGAGCCCTTGCCCAGGTCAGCTGATTGGACTCGGAAGGATGTAAATACAAACCGAGGAGAAAAAGACCCAGAAAAAAGTAACTTGCAAAACTTGGATATAGCAACAGCAGCA